AAAAATCAGTTAAGATCATTTGAAGGCAAGTACAGATGCCGGTTCCTTCGATCAGGGTTAGGGTACCTAAAAGCCGACCATGGGTCCTAACTCCGATGCGGAGTGAACGCGCGGGGCTGCTCGAAGCTTCTCCTTCAGCACTGACCACTGTGACGCACATTACCTAAGCACGAGCACTGGACCAGCTCTCCCACTGCACTGGAAACGTCATTCATCTTTTGCCTTTCTTTGGCGCCGATATAGATTGGCATCGGTTCCGTTTCCAACCACCGAAGCACCTACAACAACACCTTCATCTACATCTCGACATCGACGGCCACCTTTCTCCAGCATCGCGTCGCACCCACGATAATGTCGTTTACCCTCACCATCCGCGCTGGGCCTGCGCGCCTGGCTTCGCGGATTCCCGAGTTCGCAAAGGCCTCGAGCGGTCCTGCCGCCGCCATCCGGGCTTTCCACAAGTCTGCGCCCCAGACCACCAATTTCTTCACCTCGAGGACGACCGCTCCCTCGCTCATCGCCCAGAAGCCCGCTGCCAACGGCCTCCTCGCTCGTCTCCAGGGCGCCCGCCGCGGTTACCAGTACCAGTCTCACTCCCAGCCCCAGCAGGACAATGGCCTGTTGATGCGCAAGCTCCTCGTCGGCGGCGCCATGGTCGGTGGCACCTGGGTTACTCTGCAGTTCATGTTCAACCGGGAGACTCGCGCGGACGGCGGCATGCCCGCTTTCGAGAGTTCGTACCTCAACAGGACCTTCATGCACACTGGACTCGGCATCGGCATCATCGGTCTGTCGGCCTACCAGATGCTCCAGACTGGTTTCACCTATCGTCTCATGGCTACCAACCCTTGGGTTGTCGCTATCGGTGGTCTCGCTCTCTCTTTCGGTTCCATGCTTGCTACTCGCGCCATTGACGCTGACAAGTACGTCCTCTTGTGTTTCTTCCTGTCTTGTGTTGTCGCATTCGCTAACCCCTTCTTCACAGCTACATTCCCAAGTATGCCTGCTGGACCCTCTTCAACGCCACCCAGGCCGCCTTTGTCGCTCCTCTCCTCGCTATGGCTCCTCCCGCTCTCCTCGCTCGCGCCGGTCTCTACACTCTCGCCATGATGGGCTCCATCTCCTTCATCGGTGCCACTGCCAAGCAGGAGAAGTACCTCTACATCGGTGGTCCTCTCCTCGCTGGTGCTGCCATTGTCGCCGTCTCTGGTTTCGCTCCTCTCGTCCTCCCCGCCACCGCCGTCCGCACCCTCGCCTTCACTGAGAGCCTCTGGCTCTATGGTGGCCTTGCCGTTTTCGGTGGCTTCACCCTCTATGATGTCCAGAAGGTTCTCTACCACGCTCGTCTCGCTCAGGCTGGTGTCATCAAGGAGGATCCCGTCAACGAGTCCATTTCGCTTGAGCTCGACTTCCTGAACATCTTTGTTCGCATGGTCCAGATCCTCATGATGCAGCAGAACCGCAGGAAGTAAGGGGTGTGCGTAGGATGAGTTGAACAAAGAAAGCGTTGAACAAGATACCAGATCGTTTGCTTTGAAGTTTTTGGTTAGCACTCTGCTCAGTGTTTGTTGACGGAGGAGTCACGCAGGAAGAAGCTGCTGGTCTGATTCAGTTCAAGCAGTTGTTTGTATTGTACATGTATATCTACATGTCCCAAGAAAACTCTCAATAAAAAAAACGACAAAACCCAAAATCTGTCTTCCGTCCCAAACGCCGCCTGATGCAATGTTGTCGCTAGTATGTTAAATCCGTCCATGCCGTGTATGTTGTCCGGGGTCCCGCTTTGTGTTGAATTACCTCCTCATCATCTGTCATCCGGATCCTGCCCGAATGTCATCCCCAGGTTGCGCTTGGCGCATTCTGCTACCCAAGACTTGGTTGTATGCGCGTCGGCGCGGCAAGTGTTCAAAAAAGCCATGCGCCTACTTGAGCTCAGGGAACTTGCGCAAAAAATGGCTTGGGCACTCATAGCCATCGGGGTTGTTCACCAAGTACAGCTGGTGGTACTGCTCGGCATCCCACCACTCCTTGGCCGGAAGGATCTCTGTGATGATCTTGCCACCCCACCACTGCTCGTTCGCCTTCTTGGTGATTTCTTCTGCAAGCCTTTTCTGCTCATCGTTGTGGTAGAAGATGCCGCTGCGGTATTGCGTGCCGCGATCGGGGCCCTGCTGGTTTGGCGTCGTGGGGTCGTGCATCTTGTAGAAGAACTCGAGGATTTGGGAGTAGGAGAGGCGGGTCGGATCGTAGATCAGGAGGGTAGCTTCCGCATCTGTGAGCTTCAATGTTAGCGACACCGTTCGAGACATCGCAAAGTTGCAAGACTTACGACCAGTGTTGCCCGAGCAAACTTGCTTGTAGGAAGGGTTGGACGAGTCACCGCCAATGTAGCCGACGCGCGCATCGTAGAGACCCTTGTCGGCAAAGTGCTTGCGGTAGAGGTGCTCAACGCCCCAAAAGCAGCCGGCGGCGACGGTGGCCTGCTCGGCGCCCTCGGGGACGTGGACGGGGCTGGAAGAGAACATGGTGGTGGTCATTCTGGAGGTTTGCGTGTTGAGGGAACGGAAGATGCGACCGAGAAGCGAAGACATGTGCTGTGATGTTGTCAATGAACTCAGGATCGCGAAGCTGATGGATGGGAGGTCGCGAGCTTTATGAAGCTTCGTAGGGCTGAGTCAACAATAGTGTGGCCGCGTGGCGATAGGAGTTCGGGAACCTGTGGTGGGGAGCAAAGTGGACCGAGGGAGATGACGAAAGGCGGAATGGCGATGGCGTCTTTGGCAAATTTTACATGCGCTCTTTTTAGGGATGTCACGCCGGTTGAGCGCGGCACAGGAAGCATTGGACAGAGATCGAAAATGAAATTGAGACATGATGTGGCAAGTGATGATATTGCCGATGGTAAAAGCAAAAGACCGGAACCGCTGTGGTTTACCACCGCATCGGTGTCATTGACGTTGGGAGTTCCAATCTACAACCAGGGGTCCAGCGATCGTGCGCGGAGAAGCTTTGTGGAAGCTGACAAAGGTCCACCACCTGGCGAACCAAGTGGGCCCGCATATGCACGGCATTTCCAATGCTACGGCGGCCCAAATTTCGAGATTTGCGATAATTTCAACAAGCAGCGACGCTTAGTCTCAGTCTCAGACCCATACCTCCCAGCCCCACCAGCCCCCTTCTGCGGTACGAGGTCTGACCGGTTTTGCGCGTTTTAGTCGCTAGCTGCAGAATAATATATGAATTTATATGAATTCTACTTCAATTAGAATAAATAAGTTCTTTTTCTATTAAAATAAGATTAGTTATTAATATTATTACTAGCTTATTTGCTGTGACGGGTGACAAACAGTAGTCTGATCTGTAAGGGTTTTACGAGGTATACACACAGGTAGGCCATGGTGAAAGTGATAATATTCGATAAAGAGGAAAAGAGAAGTCTGTGCCAGTATGGCATGGAGCTTACAGCTAAATACACAAGAGAGGTGCGTATATCGAAGGTGCTAGAAACGCCAAGGTCGAAAATGTGGTTCGTGCGGCATACCCCAGGAGTGCACCCAGTCGGAGGGCAGGCCTGGCTTTCATAGAGTTCAAGCCAGGCAAACACCCCTAGGCGCCAGCCCCATGACATGATCTGCCTAAATGTGATAGTTAAAGATAAAGACTATGAGTGCTGTTCGGTAAAGCCAAAAGGTTCATAACAAGTATGTTCGTAATACTGGTCTCGGTGATAATGATCCATTGTATATATGGACTACTGTTAAACTATCTGACAATCTGATGTGACGAACGGCAGTCTGATCTGCCTAAATGAGATAACTGAAGGTAGTAACTATCAGTGCTGTTCGGTGAAGTTAAAAGGTTCACAACAAGTATGCTCGTAATACTGGTCTCGGTGATAATGATCTATTGACTACTGTCGAACTATCTGACAATCTGAGTTCTCCCGTAGTCCCTTTATACCTGCTCGCCCTCTGCGAGATATCTGTTTCCGGATGTCCACGTAGACGTGAACCCCATAGACGTGAACCCCATAGCGTGTGGTTTACAAGCTGGCTCGATTCGTGAGTCTGGCTCGACTGGTGAGCCTGGCTCGACTTCCCAGAGCCCTTGCCTGCCCAGAGCTCTTTTTCTGCCTCTGGTTACACTGCCTAGCTTACGCGTGGCTGTTGTGTACCGGTGGCTTGGTTGGCCCGTGCCCGTCATTATCAGCTCGTAACACGATGCTTCCCCTCCCTAGCCGACGTCCTCGACGGCTTGGCTGATTAGCTTCTGGTTTCCTTCCATTCTTATGCTTTACATGCCCATCGCTACTTCCCCAGATACAGTAAGTCCTGTTTGTCACTTGTTTTCCCACTTCTCACCATGTCGTTCCGTATCGAGAAGAATCCTTCCAAAGCGACTGCGAAGCGGCAGTCCTTACTGATCCGTATCGAACAATTCGGGTCTCCCGGCGATCCCTGTCGACGCTGGCATCAGCGTTCTTTGACGTGCAAGCGCCTTCCTGACGCTGGAAAGTGTGGCGAGTACGTTCGTTACAGTCGCCCCTGCGTAAGCATGGATACTGATACCGAGCGTTGGTGCTTGCCTTCTGGTTGTTCATTCCTGGGCTGATCTTCCTCTGTAGTGACCGTGGTTCTGGAGGAGAGGGCTCGAGTGGTTCAAACCAAGGCGGAGGTCCTGAAGAACATTCAAGAGTTGGCGAAGAAGTTGGCTCAGTTGGAGCAGGAACAAGAACGTCTGTCTGCAAAAAGTCGGGAGCTCACGGAGCGTAGTATGGCGGAGTTGGAAGCGTTGGAGGCAGAGGAGCGGGCAGAGGAGCAAGCCCAGACGCTGTCCCAAGGGCAAGCGGCTGGCGTGCCTAATGCCTCCGTGTCTTCATTCGATTGGTCGTCCCTCGACGTGTCCGATTACCCTGCTGCTTGGCTAGGTAGTCCTGCGCCCCTGGGCGATCCGGGTTCCTCCGGTGGAATTCCTCCAACTTCTCAGGGCAACTCAAATTCTTGACGGGTTCCCAAGTGTTGTCTTCGGGCCCAAACCCTTCCCATTTGATGAAGTACTCCAGCTTCCCTTCCTCGATCTTTGAATCTAAGATTTGCTCCACATCCCATTCTTCTTCCTCGTCCTCGATGCTAACACTAGTGTTGATCCTAGCGTTCTTTGGTGCCAGTTCTAGCAGCGATACGTGGAATG